TAGAAGCTGCAGGATGCGCTGGAGCTTGTTATTGTTGCTGAGTAGACTGATTAGCCATCAAGGAATCTAAGTCAGATATATCGTCGGTAGATAGAGCAGAAGAAAGAGAATTCATAGTTGAATTTCCTCTCTTACACCAGCGGCTGACATAATTATAGATCCCTAACTCAAGGTTTATGGTGTAATCGAAATCAGCTTGTATCGGTTCCTGTAACTCGACTTGCTCAGAATACCTTGAAATGAACCACGTGTTTAGGGTGACCAGGATCTAGAGTTGGTGGAACCACGAGTAAAATTCAGCGAAAGACTTCACATCTTGTATTGGAAATGTCTGAAATGACAAGGATAATAATCATGAGTAACACATGCATATTTATAGTCTAGGAAGTACCTATTCGGGATGTACCTGTTCAAAGTGTATCGCGACTATTTGCGTGACATAACTAGTGACTCTTCATGTCACGCATGACCCTTTGGGTAACTATACGCGCGAACCTACTATTCACGCGTTGACTCGCTACTGCTGACGTCACCACGCACATCCTTCCATATGAGGTAGAGCGCTACTAGTATAGTTTAAGTATACTATCAGGAATGCATAAGGGGTAACTCTACCGAGTATAATTCAACACTCCCCTTCATTCATGAGTGACTGTTTCTGGGGAAGTGTCGCCTTGTTTGCATATTCCATCCAGGTTGGAGCACTACTGAAATTTATTGCGTGGGAGTTTTTCGTAAGAAAATCAGCTGCCATTTCTTATGTAGGGCAGTTTTTCAGGATGACCTTTCCTTTGTCGATTTCATCCTTGATGAAGAAGTATTGAAGGGCAATGTGTTTTGTCCTGTTGACGAAGTCGGGCTTGTTCGCAATCTTGATTGCACTCTAGTTGTCGCAAAGTGACTTGAAGTTAAAGATCGTTGCAATTTTCGCATCTTGAAGTAACTCTTGAAGATAAAGTTCTTCGCGAACTGCAAAGCTTGCTGTGATGAATTCTGCTTCGGCTGACGAAAGTGGGATGAGCTCCTGTTTTGTTGAGTTCTGGGAGATGCCACCACCCGGTTCAAATTTTAAAATGAACCATGTACGTTAACACCTGTTGTCGAGGTCAGGAGCATGATCCGCATCAACGTATCCAGTGAGTGGAAGATTTCCTGCAGTATTTGTCATGTAGCTGAGACCGATTGTAGGAGTAGAAATGAAATAATGGAGGGCTCGAAGAAGGTTGGCCATTTTCTCCCCTTCAGGTTGGCGCAGGTACTGTGCGAGCTGACTCGTGATGTAGGCAAGATCTGGGCGGCATATAACGGCTGTAAATAGAAGACACCTGAGCTGCTGCTGGTAAAAGCTGGTGCTTGGAGGCAGTAAGTGGGGTAGTATTGGGTGTGTAGTCGGCCGGAATATGACGAAGTGGAGTATTGAGGCCGATGGGAACAATGGCGGACTTTTTCGCAAGTGTTTCGGCATACTTGCTTGCAGAAAGATTGGCATCGGGGCCACAGTCGACGTTTAAGCCAAGGAATTAGGTGACGTTGGGGGAAATAGTAACCTCAAGAATCGTTTGAATTCTTTCTTCCATGCGCACCAAAAGATGGTTGCACGAGCCAAGGTACAGCAAGTCGTCCACATAGGCAACTAGAAGAATGTAGTGTCCCCGAAATTCGAGTCTGTACATTCTAGGATCGTGGGGCAGCTGCATGAAGTCAAGTGAAAGTAGAACTTTATAAAGATGTTGCTGCCACAGGCGAGGAGCCTGTTTGATGTCGTTGAGTGACTTAAGTAGCTTGCAGATGTAGAGTCCGTCGCCAGAAGTGTGAGGGAAATCAACGAAGATATCTACATAACATCTGCGTATAAAAACATATTTTTTAGGTCCAGTTGGCGAAGTGGCTAATGGCGGCTGGCAGCAATGGCGAGAAGAATTTGAACTGAAGTATGGCGGCTGACCGAAGCAAAAGTATTGTCGTAATCGATGCCATGGGTTCGTTCAAAACCTCAAACCACCCATCTCCCCTTGAATCTGTCTGGTTCACCTGCTGCATTTGTCTTTATGCAAAAGACCCACTTGCCCGAAAGAATTTTCTTGTTGCATGCTCCTTCACGTGGAACGAGTTTCCACGTTTTCCGCTTCTCGAGAACTGCTACCTCTGCATCCATAGCTGCTCGCCATATGTCAGCATCAGAGCCAGAAGGGCATTCTTGACTGTTTTTGGCTTGATCCTAGCAGTTGGTTACTGAAATGCGACAGCAAGGCCGAGGATCTGAAGAGCCGATTGGTCAACACGAGGATGTGGTTGGCAAACTTCAATGAGGTCATTGACGTCGATTTCGGATGGCAGATGGCGGGCATCGTCATGTGATGCTGCGTCAATTTTCTTCCGGCACAGGTGCTCCTCATAATTATAGGCAGCCTGAGTCGTGGAAGGACGCAACGGATCCAAGCGGGGAATGAAGAGCGGAGTGGTTGTGTTGTTGGCACGTGTTGAAGGAATATAGGAGTCGAACAATGGTTCGGCTGCCAACGTGGACAGTTGCGGAAATGTACAAGGTCATGCTGTTGCGCTGTCGGGCGGATAATATTCTTCGACTGCATCTTCACTACCCCGCTCGGCACTATAGCGATCAGGATCCCGCTGCTAGCATTCCTTGTCACGTTCGAAGTCGTCGAGAAAAAGTTTCTCGTAGAAAATGCAGTCTCGGGCATAAATAAACTTTCGGGTCTCGTAATCCAGTATTATCTAAGAGTAGGAATCCTTGGGTACACCAAGGTGTATTCCCCATCGAGCTCGTTCAGTAAACTACCCACAGTTGCGCTCAGAGGTCTGTATTAGACGATGCAGCCCCAAACTCGTAAAACTTGATTGTGGAGGGGTGTTTTGTCCACATGACATGTGACGAGCCGAACTGAGGGAGAGTTGTTGAAGACAGGAAGTTATGTAGTCTGGCAGCTTACGCCATCGCAAACGGCCGTAAATCTGCTGTCAAGCTGGACTGTTGCAGCAGCACGCGCATCTTGTCTTGGAACGTTCTGTTCGTCCTCTCAGCTACTCCATTCTACTAATGGGTGTAAGGCACAGTCTTGCACCAATCATTCATCGAGCTGCTCGCTAGTGTATTCACCCGCATTGTATGTCTGGATCTCTTTCAGCTTGATGCCACTCAGTCGCTCCGCGATTTTCAGCCATAGCTTGAAGGCATCGAGAGCTTCAGACTTGTGAGAGATCTTCTTGTGCCAGACATATCGAGTAGCACCGTCGATGAAGGTAATTATATAGCGATAGTCGCTGCCGCTGATATCCTCTGCTTCCTGCTGCATGAAGAGTAGGTCGCTGAAAATGGTGTCCATAGGTGAGTACTTATTAGCACTCAGGAAGTGTGACAGGAACGGAGCGTGACTTAGGCAAGCGTCGGAGCAGATGGTGCAGGGTAGTTGGCAACTGCTAGGTCGAAGTTCTTGGCCATTGGTTAAAAGGAGAACGTCCTTATCGCAAGAGCTTCTTGCGAGGGTTGACCTGACCGCTTGTGCCATGATTCTGCAGTACTCTTGTGTCCCTTTGAACACAGATACAAATCAAAGTGAAGGAAGAAGGTCGGCGAAAGATGAATCGTTGGCGTAGGGTTAACGCAGCGGCCGGTACCGAAAGGCTGTATGAATCCGGCTTCTTCTGCAGTTTCAGCCCAAGGTAGGTTGAGATGTCGACGATGCGCCCAAGAATCATGTACGATTAACTCTTTCTTGCCCCTTGTGCGACCTCCATAGGTTCTTCGACTGTAGCAGATGTCAGTTCTTGACTTTCTTAACCCCAATTTCCATCTCCACAAGCCCATGTAGCTTGACATGAATCTGCTGCTGAAGCTGCTTCTATTATTTCTGCTACAGATTCGTCGATGGAGTTGGTGTGAGAAGGTTGAGGCGTGATGCAGAAGACATTTAGACCACAATGATCTTGGCGTTGGTAATCCGTATCCCAGTGATAATGCCAAGGAGCTAGTGAGACGTTCTTCTCACTGTCGCCATATGCCTTCACATGTGAGAAACGTAAAACTGAAACGTCGCCTTTAACTGCTGTATTGCCAATTAAATTGTATCTGTCTTCCCTCTTGTCTCTCGGGTACAATTCCGTCAGCATCGTGCTGGCGGTGCTGACGAAGTAGATGCCGCTTTCCATCAGTTATGCTTGTGATAACAGATTGAAGCCTAGCTTGATTCTAGTATCACATCTCTGATAGCAGTTGCTTCAATTGTCTGATTGTTGACAACTGTGATGCTGTACTTCTTTCCTTCTGACAGGTTTCGCCAGTTGAGAAGATAGCGACTTGAAGATGCCATATGGTGACCACAGCTGTTGTCTAGAAACCACGTGTTAACATCCTCTGATACCATGTTGAAATGAACCACGTGTTTAGGGTGGCCAGGATCTAGAGTTGGTGGAACTACGAGTAAAAATCTGACTTTACACCTTGTATTGGAAATGTCCGAAATGACAAGAATAATAATAATTAGTAATACAAACATATTTATAGTCTAAGAAGTTTCTATTCGAAATGTACCTGTTCGTAGCGTATCGCGACTATTCACATGACATGACCAGTGACTGTTCGTGTGACTGAGAATGGCGTGACCTTACGGATGATTATACGCACGAACTTAATGTTCACGCGTTGACTCGCTACTGCTGACGTCATTATGCGGGTCCTTCCATATGAGGTATTGCGTTACTAGCCGTACTATGTTTAATATCAAGAATGCATAAATGGTAACTCTATCGAATATCCTTAGAAAATAATTTCAAAAAACTGTGGTTATGTCTCGGCTATGTCTTATCCTACCATGGCACGAATTTGAGCTTAACAAGTGGATTTTTTTATTCTTGAATACTGCGGTATAAGCAGAATGCATGAAACGAAGCGTCACATTTCTAAAGCGAATTAGCTGTTGTCGAATCTGCTTTCTGCAATCCTTCCTGCGCAGACTTCGTTTTCTCATCAGTCGCCAGAATAGAAGCCTTAGTTTCTCGATGTTAGCTCGCTTCCGACTCCGATTCTGCCTTGTTGGCGAACTCGTCTTATGGCTTCGCGAACGATACTGGTATCCTGTTACAGCGCCACGGTAAAACACGCCTCGGTTCGCGATGACGTCGCGTTCGCCCAATGCCGAGTTCAACTTTGATCCGTCAGCTAGACGTTGACGGAATGGATTCCCTCTGTGCCACCTCGAGGTGAACTCGGGACGGGTAGTCCGCCCATTTGACACCTTAATCTGTTTACCGCAATTTTCGTTACGTATACGGATCGCCTTGGGATACTCAGCGCGTGGCGACGTTAACGGAAGTGCGAGATTTTTCAGCTCGGGCAGCAGTGTCTAGACCTAGAGTCACGCTTGCCTAGAACCGAGTAGATTCTTGATCCGTCAGCTAGACGTTGACGGAATGGATTTCCTCGGTGGCCACCTCGAGCTGATCTCGACACAGTTAGTTCGCATCCTTTACTCAGTCAAATTTTCTTCCGCAGGCAGATCGCCTTGGAATCCTCGGCGAGTGGCGAGGTTAACGGAAGTGCGAAATGCGTTCGGCTCGGGCAGGAGTGTCTCTCGCACATTGCTGCCCGAAATTAGCACATTCAGCAGACCGAGCCACATCGGTGTCCTTGGGCAAAGCGACGTTTTCGCTTGGGCGCATAGCAAAGGATTCCGGCAGCAAAACCGCATGCGATTGGTCGACTCATTCCTCCGAATTTCCAGCTCTGACCGCGAAATGGAGCCACGCTCCGCTCCTCCCTCTGTTCGTCCAAGCTCCGTCCACCGCACACCTCCGCCTTGGGACTCTCCCACCTCCCTACAAATCCACACCTTCGCTCATTCTATCCACCCAAGCTACTCGAATCCAGTCTTCGTCCTCACACCCCTCAGCTCGTCACGATCTCCCGTCGTAGTCAGGCTAGCCGTCCGCTTGTACCATGGCCTCTCGGAATGTTTCTTCTCGTCTCGCGTCTGCAAGCCTTTCGATTGACCACGCATTCTGGGCAACATTCTCGGAGGCGGATCAGACGTGGCTGTACGCGCCAGGGAGCTCCTCGTCCCATTGAGAGCGAGTTCTGGAAGGCCTACAGTGAGGCCGACCAGACCTGGCTGTACGCGCCAGGGAGCTGCTCCTCGCAGTCCGCCATTGAGCACGAGTTCTGGAGGGCCTTCAGCGAGGAGGACCAGCTGTGGCTGTGCACGCCGCTGAACGAACCATCCGCCGCGGATTCCTCCCTGGAGCATGCGTTTTGGGAGGAGGAGCAGACGTGGCTGTATGTTCCAGGTATTCCCTTCTGTGAGCCTGTTGTGACCGTGCTCAGTGCTGCCAGCAACGTCGCATGTAGCACGCCGACACTCGACAGCAGCAGCAGCAGCAGCATCATGAGCACCACCGAAAGTGGGAGCAGCAGCAGCAGCAGCGGCAGCAGCGGCAGCTCAAGGCGTCCTAACGGAGCAAGCAGTGGCATGAGCACGAAGGAGAAGCGCTGGCGGCAAGCCGTTGCTTACCGAGTGGGTCGCTTCCACGAGGAGGAAGAGCAGTGCCATCGGCGCTCCTCCCGTGCCTCTCTCGGTTTCTCCCCCCTGCGCCCAAAATCCATGACTGGGGTGAGTAGAACCGCGAGCAAGAAGCCGAGGCCGAGGGAGGTGATGGGAGGAAGTGGTGGTGGGAAACCCAAGGCTGGAAAAACTGCCCCTGTGACACCTGCTGCTGCAAAGGCCGTTCCTGCTAAGACTGTACCTGCATCAGTGAAGGCGATTCCAGCGACGATCGCACCTGCAAGGCCTGCAGCCGTGAAGCCGGCAGGTGCTGCTGTGAAGCTGGCATGTGCTGCTGTGAGGCCTGCAGGTGCTTCCAAGGGTGCAGCAGTGAAGGGCTCCAGTGGCCAAGGTGCGTCTCGCATTCCCAAGCCCGCCCTGCCAAGGCCAGTAGCAGCGGCGTCAGGGGCCAGGGCAGTGGTTGGCGAAGCAGTGAGGAAGGGGGAGGCTTTGAGAAGGGGCATTCTGAGAGCAGCAAGGCCAGCAGCAGCAAGGCCAGCAGCAGCAAGGGCGGCAGCAAGGGTGGCAGCAGCAGCAAGTGGAATTCCGAGGGCAAGCAGGGCGGCAGCAGCATGAGCAAGGCGATAAGCACAATGATCCAATGCTGAAATGTGGTGCTGGTGGCAGGTTGGACGCAAAGGCGCTGGCATGGGCATGCCTGGTGGGGGCTAGTGGGAGGGAAATGGCTGGCAGTACCCCTTTTTCCACCTTGCTTGCAGGGTGTTCCGGCCTTTCTCTCTCATTGGTTCCCAACCTTCCTCTCTTGCTTCCATCCCTTCTCTACTGCCTTCCCTCTCCCCCTCAATTCCGCCTCACACTTGTGTTATCAGCCATGTCCCCTTTCCATTCTCTTGCACATGCCCGTACTCACTCACGCACTGCATTGTCATCCTACATGCAATGTCCCGTGGTTCGGCCTCCTTGATTCCCAACCAGGGATTGAAGGTGGAGAGAAACCTTGGAACCGTCACAGGTGTGAGATTCCCAGATTTCAGACTCCCGTGTCAGACTTCCCGTGTCAGATTCTCATCGCTGGGTTCTCATTTCAGATTTCCATTTCAGACTCCAGCTGTCAACTTTCAATGCCAGTCTTGCACTGTTTGAGTCCAGCATAAAAATCCCTGTGATTCCCTTGAGTCCTTTCTCTGGTGGATTCTGATTGCCAGCTTCTCGTGTCAGATTTTCGAGACAGATGCCCATCATCAAATTTTCGAAGTCCTAATTCCATTCTCAGGTCTGTAATTTCAGATTCCCATTGGCACATCTTCAATGTCAGATACCCGTTTTCATATCTCCTATGTCAGGTCAGATTCCCTTGGTCAATTTCCCACTTTCAGATTTCATTTTCCATTTCCATTTCCCAGTGTCAATTTTCCATGTCAGACTTCCATTGTGAGGTTCCCATATTAGGACCCATGGATACCCTTGGTCCCATTGTCACTCTAGGATTCTCACTGTCAGATTCTTGCCGTCAGACTCCCATGTCAGATTGCTAGTCAGATGATTCCTGCTGTCAAATTGCTATTGTCGGATACCCATGGCATATACCCATGTCATGTTCCCATTTCATTCTTACATGTCAGGTCCTTATTCTCGGACTCCGATGTCAAATTCCCACTTTCGGATTCCCATTTCCAAGTCCCAGTGTTAACTTTCCATGTCAGACCTCCACTGTCAGATTCCAGTTTCAGAAATTCATGGTCAGATTCATTATCAAATTCCCACTATCAGATTCGTGTTGCATGCCAATGGCGTCAAATCATACTACGTTCACCATCTGACATATTTCGCGATGCTTTCAGCATGTTCGTGTCAATTGGATCAATTCAGTGTGCTTTCGATTGCTTTATTTATCATTCTTTCAGTTGTCCGCTGCATGCTTTCATCGTCGCATGTCACGTGATGCGTTCAGTGTAACATATCATGCCAAGTGATCCATTCATGATGTGCATCACATGTCAGCCACATCAGTTCACAATGGTTTCAGAATCTCACTGGAAGTTTATCAGGCATATGATGCTTTCAGCATCTCATGCTGTTGCTTTGCTACATGATGCTCTCTCATGTCAAAGGCATCACATATGATGCTTTCAGCACTGAATGTCAAGTGTCATCAATTCATGATGCTATGTTCAGCATTTCGTCCCAGCACCATCTACTCATAACGCTTTCACCATGTCAGGACGGATTTTGCCATGACACTTTCAAATTTCGTTCGAACCAATCTATCATGCCTTGCTCATCGTTTGTCAGTGGCATCAGTATGTGATGCGTCCATCTGTTATTCATGATGCTTCCATCGTCTCAATCCGTGCCCGAGGCATAACTCGTTCATATGTTCCTCGTTTCCCTCTCTTTCTGCCTCTTCTCCCATCCTCTTTCCCAGTCCATCCATCCACCCATCATCTATAACAATCGCATGCCTGAATCACCATGCCTTAATCTCATACCTCTCTTTCTGAGTGCAGCCAGATCAGATGGCCTCCCCAAGCGCTGAAATAGCTCCTGCCGCCAAACGAAGAAGAAAAGCCCGTTGAATTTAGAAGACATGCATAGTCATCTCAGCCACAGTATTGGGGGTTTGGTGGCACACCTAGCACCTTCTCACCTTCCCATCTGGGAACTCACGGGAGAGTGAGTTGTGCAAACCCACTAGCGCTAGCTGGTACGCTGCCTGGCAGCTGGTTGGTTGAAAAATTGCTGAGACGAAAAATGCAATTGCTGCAAATGGCTGGTCGTTGAAAGTTGACTGTGTCAAACATAAGCATAACTCATGTTTGTATATATCAGAATTGTAATTGAATGATGATAAAGTGAGAGTACACACAAATATACCTAAGTGTTGTACCCTCTAAGAAGTAACCCTATACAGTCTATACAAATATGACAAATACAGATGTTTGACACACCCCCTAGACTGCATAGGGGAATACCCTAAACAAGCAGCTCAGGGCGGCACTACTAGTCCAACCTCTGAGACAAGGGTCTGAGAGACCAGTCAGAAGAAGTACAGACAAGGCAAGAACAAGACCAGGGCGGCACTACTAGTCCAGCCACTGGGAGAGGACACAAGTCCAGTCTGAGTATACATATAAAGGACAGTACAAGTCAAGGTCCTAGCAAGTGAGAAGCGACAGGAACTAGACCAAGCTGTACACAGTGCCGCTGATGATCTTTAGACGCAAGCGCCTTCGTAAAGATATCAGATGTGTTGGCACCTGAGGCCAAGTGTACTACGCGAGCCTGACGTCGCTGCTGTAGCTCTCGCAGGAGGAAGTACCGCAGCTGAATGTGCTTCGCTCTGCCCTCGAGTCGAGGCTCCTGACACAGGAGGATCATGGCCCTGTTGTCAGCGAACAGGACCGGGGCAGAGCTAGGCCGCTCACCTAAGTCAGTGAGCAAGAAGGTCAGCCAGCGGAGCTCCTGTGCCGCCATGGCACCAGCGTAGATCTCGGCCTCACAGCTGGACTGCGCAACAGACGAGGAGCGAGTAGCTCTCCACGAGACGGCACCTGAGCCAAGGCTGAAGCAGTAGCCCTGGGTAGACCTGAGTGTCTCGGCATCGTCTGCCCACGAAGCGTCTGTGTGTCCAGTAAGGACCACTGGCCTGCGTCCTCCAAGCACTAACCCCATGCCCGATGTACTAGCAAGATAACGCAGAACCCTCTTAGCAGCAGACCAGTGCTGCGGTCGGTGTCTGCCTGTGGCTACAAAGCGCGCCAGGATGCTGAGAGGGTATGCGAGATCTGGGCGAGTGCAAGTCATCAGGTACATGGGGCAACCCACCAGCTCTGCGTAGGGGCCGCTGGGCTCTACCAACTCCTCAGACACTGGAGCGTAGAGTCTGTAGTCTACAGGCAGAGGGGTGGGCTGTGCAGAGGAGAACTGAAGGCTGAACCTCTGAAGGACCTGGCGCACCAAGTGTGACTGAGTCAGGGTGATGGTGCGCGCAGCTCTGTCCCTGGAGATCTGCAAGCCAAGGTAACGGCGCAGTTCTCCAAGATCAGTGCAGGTGTGTCTCTTCAGCAGCTCTGCCTTCATGGAGGCCAGTGCGTCCCTGTCTGCTGTGGCAAAGACCAGGTCGTCGACGTAAACAAGGATGTAGAACGGAGTCTGGCCAGCACGAACGAAGAGTGAAGGGTCTGCGGAAGACGAAAAGAACTACAGATCAGCAAGGGTAGCACGGAGAGTGTCGTGCCACTCACGGGGAGCCTGGCGCAGGCCGTAGACAGGGCGCCGCAGGAGCCACTGGGTCCCAGGAGGGAAGGTGCCAGTAAAGCCAGGAGGGCGACGCAGGTAGACCTGCTCGTGTAGGCTGCCCTGCAGGAAGGCAGTGAAGAAGTCGAGGGAGTGAAGCTCGTAGTCACGCTGAGCAGCTAGGTGTAACAGAACCCGAAGAGTAGTCATCTTCGGGGTCGGAGCGAAAGTCTGGAAGAAGTCCACCCCCTCGCGCTGACTGAAGCCTCTAGCCACATAGCGCGCCTTGAAGACAGGCGGCTCTCCAGGAGGGCGCTTCACCTTGAAGAGCCAGCGGCCATCGACTACGTTCACCCCAGGTGGGGGAACTGCGTCGACGAAGGTGCCGGTGGATCTCCAAGATGCCATCTCCTGCTCCATGGCAGCTATCCACTGAGAGGCCTAGGGTCCCGAAGTCGCCTCAGCGTAAGTGCGAGGGGTCGGGATGTCGAAAGCGTCTGGGTCACCCTCAGGGACTAGCAGCATGGAACAGAGATGGGGAGCAGCCTCGGAGAGGAAAGCAAGCTCGAACTGGCGGTCCTCCAGGACGTCACTGCCAAGGGCAGGAGCACCCCCGACAGACGGAGGACAGGCAGGGTCAGAGACCAGAGCGGTGGCGTAGTCAAGGCGGCGGGTAGAGGCGAAGTCAGCGACAGCAGCGACAAGAGCGTCAAGGCACGAGACCGGAACAGACGGGTCGGTAACGAGAGAGGCAAGGACCCGAGGAACAAGAGGACGAGCGGCACGAAGGTAGTCAGACAGCGGGGGGGGCGCAACAACAAGGGAGGACGGTGGAGGCGACGGCAGAAGGGGAGAGCGAGACGCGTGGGACCGAAGCAACATAGGGTGGGAGCGCAAGACAGGCGAGGCAGGACGAGCACGGGAGGTGCGGTGAGACCAGACGTGCGACGGAGGAGTCGGATCAGGAGACAGGGGATGGGACACAGGAGGGGAACGAGGGGGGAGACGAGCCGGGGACGAGTCCGGCGGAGGAAAAACAGGGCCGTAGACAGGAAGAGGAGGAGACGGTCGGGGAGGAACCGACGCAAGGTCAGGGGACGGAAGGCCGAGCAGGCGAAGGGCGGACACCTGCGGGGACTGCTGCTGCGGCAGCACAACGGCGACACCTGGACTGGAAGCGGCTTCGCGGCTACCACCGGAACTCTCCACACCAGCACCCCCAGAGGGACCACCCCCAGGGCGACCGGGACGAGCACCCCGAGAGTCAGCGAACGGGGGCTGCGACGGCGGCGGCGGCGGCGACGGAGGCGACGGCGGCGGTGGCGGCGGCGGCGACGACGACGGCTGCAGCAGCGGTAGTGGCGGTGAAGGAGGGGACTGGGGAGGGGACACCTGGGGAGGGGCGGCCGGCGAGGACTGCACAGGAGGGCCACCAGAGTCAGAAGACTCCTCAACCGGGTCCACGGACGGAACGGGGGTGACGTGGGACACACCAGAGGGGGCGGGACGGGGAGGAGGAGGAGGAGGGGCAGGGACTACCGGGGAAGGGGTGACCAGGAACAGGGGGGGGGCAACCGAGGGACCACGGTGGGGAAAGTGGCGGTAGTAGGAGACGGACTCGTCAAAAGTGACGTCACGAGAGTGAAAGAAGCGGTGAGACGGCGGGTGGTAAAAGTGCCAGTCGGACGCGTCAAGGGGAAAACCGAGGAAGACGCAGGGAAGGGTGCGGGCAGTGAGCTTGTCCGTGCCGGAGGCACGGACGTGAGCAAGGCAGCCCCAGACGTGGAACGCAGACGCGTCACCAGGAGACCCAGTCCAAAGACGGGTCGGCGAAACCTGCGGCTGCTGAGGGTGCGGCCACAGGTTAAGCTGGTGAGAAGCGTAGCGCACAGCGAACGGCCACAGAAAATGGGGTACACCGGCATGGATCATGGAGGTGCGAGCGACCTCCATGACCAAACCGATGCGTCGCTCAGCGACCCCATTCTGCTGTGGGGAGTCTGGTAGGGTGAACGTCTGGGTGATGCCCTCCGCACGACAAGAGCGACCAAGGACACCGGAGGCAAACTCGCCAGCACGGTCTGAGTGAAGACGCAAGACAGGGAGACCGCGGTGGACACGCGCAGAGACAAGCCAGGGGATGAGAGCACCAGGCACGTCGGCCTTGCGCTCCAGGGGAAAGACTGTTGTGTAACGAGTGAAGTCGTCGACAAGTACAAGGAATTAGCGCTCTCGACGCGGCCCAGGGACGGGGGCGGGGCCCCAGACGTCCAGGTGCAGGGTCTACAGCGGCGCGGCGGTAGGGGGAAACGAGGAGGAGTGAGGGGCACGGCGAAGCCGACCCTCGACACAAGGCGTGCAAGGTGGAGCTGGAGAGGACGGAAACGCAGGGAGCGACCCTGGGAGACCAAGGACGAGACCGTGCTGGGACATGTGACGCAGACGCGGGAGCGCAGGGTGACCTAGGCGGTGGTGCCACAGGAGGGTCGGGTGAGTGAGGGAGCGACAGGAGCAGGCAGCAGCAACCTGGGTAGACGCAGCCACCTGAGGGGGCGCTCCAGCCGGGGGGGTCACGGTGTCCAGAGTGAACAGGCCGGACACCGGGTCACGGGGGAACGTGGACAGGGGGGCACCAGTGGCGGCCTCGGTACAGACAGCATACCGCTCATGGCCAGGGAACGTAGTGGTGACGCCAAGGTCCTGGAGGCAGCCGACACCAACTAGGTTCCTGGAGAACGAGGGGATATGCAGACCTGTAAGAGAACCCGAAGGAACCGCCGGACAGGGAAGGGTGGTGGAACTGCGGGCGACTACCGGACCGCCGGAGGGGTCAGCAAGAGAAACGGCAGCAGGAACAGGAAGCGGGGTCAGGGTGGTGGAGTTGCGGAAGAAACACCGAGAGGCGCCAGAGTCCAGGGTGAAGGAGAGCGAAGCCGAGTGGTCTGGCGACGGAACGACGGCGGAAGCACCAAGACTACACAAAGCAGGAGATCCTACGCCTGACGCAGCAGGGGAGGCGAAGCTAGGCACACCTACACTAGGCAACAGTGAGTAATAAGCAGGAAGCACACTAGAGTCATCAGCATACATCACATGCAGAGCGGAAACAATGGCATCCATGTCCATATCAAAAATCTGAATCTTACGACTAAGCAAACTGTGCCAGTCCGGGAGGTCTGGCGACGGGCCGAAGCGCTGGCGAAAGAGGTCGTCCAGGCGACGAAAACAGCGAGGAGTGGAGTGACCGATCTTACCGCAAACGAAGCCGCGGCGAGGACCGGTCTGGATCTGGTACTGACAACGCCCGCCGCCAGAGCCACCACGCGGCACACCACCACGCGCCCGGCCACCGCCAGCGCCGGGCCACCCTGGCGGGAGGACACTCGTCTGCCGCGTCTGCGACGGCTGCTGCGGCTGCTGCGAAGGCTGCGACTGCGGCGGCTGCTGCACCTGCAGGGGCGGCGACTCAGCTGAACTGGGCAGAGTCCCCTCGTCCACTCCAGCACCAGGCGACCCGACCCCACCACTACCCCCGCCCGCACCCCCGCCGCCTCCTCCGCCGCGCCCAGCCATG